CCACTGTGGTCGCCGTGCCAGGGTCAGGCGGCAGCAAGCGGCACCTCGGAGAGGTGCCGACAGAGTAGAGAGGGCCCCAGAGACACTCTTCCCCAGGCAAACTCACTTTAACTTTCTAACATTTTTTCAGCAATAAGCATAGCCATGGCGAAGGGAAGTTTTTCTGGAATGTAAGTTACACCTCATTAAAGTGATTTTAAAAGAAAGTACCACAGCGATACTGAAATACAGCCCCACAGAGGAAGAAAAACTTGAACAAGCTTTAAAAGGGGGGAGTGGCGGCCCCTGCCTTGCAGGCCCCCACCCAGGGGGGTTCGGCGCTGACTCCCCCCTCCCTCCTGCCGTGACTGGAGCAAACCTGCAGCTTCCTGACTGCCCCAGGGCCCCCATACCGCTGCTGGGCAAGACCTGCCGCCTCAGGAGGTGCTCGGGGCTGGACGGCCCCCCCAGCTATCTGACCACACACAGGACTCTCCGACAGCAAGGAAGGGCTAAGCCTTCACAGCCACGTCTTCCCTGCACGACTCCCGTGGGGCCTGGAGGCGGCCGCGGGGGCCAGTGGCCTGGGCTGCGGACTCCTCCTGCTGGAAAGAACCCACGCGGCCGTCTGCACGCAGGTGAGGCCCCGCAGCCACCCCCAGCCCGCTGCGGTGGCAAGGAGCGAGGCTCTGTGGGCCGGGCGTGCACCAGTGGCATCTGAGTTTAAAAGTAAGCTCCACACCCCCGACCCACCCAGTGGCACCTGGGGTTCACGTGCAGCTCTGTGAAGCTGGAGGCAGCCGCCTCAGCACGCGTTCAGTCCCCGGCCAGGGGGCGACCCCCAGCGCACAGCAGGCCCCTGCCATATCCCGCTGCTCCCTCCGTGGTGTGTCTCAGTGGGGCCGCCAGCGCTGAGAGGACGAGGCTCAGTCACGGGGGCCAGGCAGGGGCGGCCTCCGTCCTGCGTGGAGCACGGCCACCCTGTCGGGGCCTGCCGCCACGTGTGCGACCAGAAACGAAGGGGACGGGCCTCTCCTGGCTCTGCAGCTTCAGCCTTGCAGCTGCGCCGCGGACGCTGGCTCGGGCGACCGGCTCCCGGCTCCCGGCTCCCGGCCCCCGGCGCCCGGCCCTCCTGCCGGCCGCCCGCCCCGAGGCCGAGCCCCGCCGGATCCACTGCTCTGCAGGCTGTCCTGCCCCGACCCGACCCGAAGTCCGGGCCCGGGGGCTGCTTCTCAGCTGCTGGCGGCGGCAGCAGTCTCAGACGCCCCTCAGAGCGGGGGCTCTCGGCACCCCACGCCACCAGGGGACGCCCGGCACCACCTGCGGACTGTCTGGCGGCCCCTCGGGCAGCAACGCGGGACCAGCAGGCAGGGGGCTGCTGACAGCCTGCAAACCTCCCTCAAAAAGACGCGTCGGGCTCTCAATGTCAGCACGGACTGAGCTGAGCAGCCCTGACGTAAAGAAAAACACCCCGACAGGCAGTGAGCTCACCCACTGGTATTTCAAAAGGCCACTGCGGGGTGAGTTTGACGCCACAGGGGGACTAACACACGCTGGCAGCTACTGTCCGGCCGTGCCTGGCTCGGACACTGGAGCCCGGGTGGCCGCCTCCTGGCCCGCTGCCCTCCACTGCCACGGCTCCCCCACCCCCTCTCTGCTCCCACACCCTCCAAGGCTCGCGTTCTGGCTGGGGCCCAGGGCGAGGTGCCGGTCGCCTGCCTGCCGGACAAAGGCGGGAGGCCCGGGCGCGGTGGGCGCACGAGCCGCAGAGACGCTGCCCTGCCGGGCGCTCAGCTGAGGGGGCGCCGGGCCGCCTGGCGCTGGGGGCGGGCCCTGCCCAAGCTGCGCTCTCCGCTCTGGCTGTCGCCAGCTCTTCTGCTGCTTTGACAGCATTCTGCCAGCCCGGGGGCAGCATGGCCGGGCCAGTGGGGACCTCAGAGGGTCACTGCTGGGCAAGCGCTGCCCACCCCAGCCCAGGGCTCAGTGTGCCTGTCACAACAGGGTGTCGGCTGCAGGTATGTGATGAGTCTTATTTCGAAACTACGTGGGAAGAATCTGCTGACTGGTCTTTGGCAGGATTTACAAATTTACTATGTAGCTAAGCTTTGTAAACTTTTATCTAAAACATGAACTGATCACAGCTGCACAAATACAAACTTTCTTACAAAGATGAAGCCAGGCCCTCGCTGGTGGCACAGCCAGGTTAGGAAGGGTGAGGACGCGGCACTGCGAGCTGGCGGCAGCCGCCTCTGCGCGAGTTCAATCCCGGCCCCGGAGGGGACCCCGGGGTGCAGCAGACCCTCCTGTCTCCCAGCTGCTCCCCTCAGCAGTGGATTTCGGTGGCTCCACCTGTTCTGCTCCCCGCGCTGTCTCTGGGGCGTCCTCTCAGCCCCCATATCTCTGGCCCGCACCCAGCTCTTGTGTGCATAAGCAAATAAATCTTTAAACCAGAAAATGCTTAAGCCAAACGACGTCCAGGGCCAGTACCGGACCAAACCCGCAGATGAAAGCCCCGTGCAGGCCGGCCCCCGCCGTGGCGAGGCGCGAGAGCAGGCCAGGGCTCGGAGGACAGGCAGCGACCAGGGCCGACGCGCCCACCACTTACTCTTAGCGCTGAACTTGTTTTCCTTTCGGGTTCTGCCGGTTTTCTTCAAGCAGTTGTCACACACAAAGCTGCAGAACAAAAGAGGTGTGAGGTGACCGGAGGAGGCCATGAGCGGCCAGGGTCAGCGGCCAGGGTGGAGGCGGCCGCCCTTGACTGCACGGCCCCCTCCCTCCTCGAGACCGCAGGACACACTCACCCCAGGGGCCAGATGATGTCATAATGCAGAACACAAATCTGGTGCATCTTCCGGCCGCACTCCTTGCAGTCCACGAAGCTGCAGGGGAAGCGCGGGCTCAGCCGGGGCCGCTGCCGGCGGCTGCTGACCGGCCAGCCGCGTTCAGGCGAGCGGCCTGACGCTGCTCCAGGAGAGGCTGGCTCCGCACCCCCCGCCCAGCACCTGCACCTTGCTTCCGGGTGACTGGCAAGGTGGGGCACTTCACCTGCCAGTGCTCCTGACACTCCGGTACACCTTCAAGCCCAGGGCCGGCTTGTGGTCCCTGCTCATGCCCAGACTGACTGAAGGAGCACAGCAAAACTGGCGGCGTGGAGAAGCCCGCCCGGCACGTGGCACGAGGCCGGCTGCAGGTGGGGGCCTCCGCCAGCGTCGCCGGCCAGCATGGGCCTGAGCCACAGCTCTGTCCCACTGACCGTCCCTACGGAGGGACAGTGCTCTCCTTGCCGAGGCCACCCCGCCGGCCCTCTCCGCGGGCAGGCCCCGGCGCCTCCTCTGCAGGCAGGGAGGAGGCCTGCGCACCACGCCGGCTCGCCCGCCGCCACTCACGCTCCCCACCGACAGCCAGGCCACAGCCTGCAGCGACGGCCAGACGTCCTGTGTCCCAGACCCCCACACTCCTGCTTCCGGGGTGCCACCTGGCCGGGACACCACTCTGCCCCGCCTCTCTGGGCCACCCCAACTGCTCCCGCTAGCGGCTCCTCCCTCCAGAGAGGACAGCTAAAACGGGCTCCCCTCACGCGTGCGGGCACAGGCCCTGCCTGGCTCCTAGTATTCCAGGTAACTTGCGCCAGGTGGAACCACGACACCACAGGAAAGGGGTAGCCCCGAAGGGGTGGACGGACACAGGTGTGCCGGTCCCACGCCAAGGCTGGCGCTCCAGGTCAGGCGACCCCAGGCCTGGGGGCTCTGGCAGCAGCGACGAAGCTGTGCCCAGCGTGAAGCCAGGCGCCAAGCGGAGGCTGGTGGGAAGTCCGGCTTCCCCGCAGGTGTCAGCCTCGCTGGGGCTGGGGCTGGGGGCCAGCGGAGCACCGGCTTCTCAGCCCACCGGCTCCCTGCAAGCCCGAGATGGGCACTCAGACCAGTGGCTCAGTGCAGGAGGCATGTCCACACAGTGTCCTCGGGCTGGGCTTGGGCCTGGGGTGGCCACCCGCCGAGGCTCTGAAGCCCCTCTCGCTGACACTGCGCACCCCCAGACACGCCTGCCTGTGGCCTCGGGCGTCCGTCCCTGTTGTCTTAGTGCTGACGCCTGGCTGCCCGCGGGCCAGTCCCAGAGATGCCCGATGCTGCGTGAGCTCACAGAGCCCGGTGGGGCCCGGCCCGCGCCCCCGGCCCCCGCCGCAGGGACACTTCCGCACTGACACTGGGCCCAGAGCTCGAAGGGAGGAGTCCGATACTCACGGCTCAGGGTCTAAGGTGTCATTTTTCTTCTTTTCAAACTGATCCTTTGAAATGGTTCTGGTTAAAAAAAAAAAAAAAAGACCCAACGTTACGGAGGAAGCGGCGCCTGCTGCGGGTCCGGCCCACCCGCGACCGGCCTCCGGGCCAGCGGGCGTGGCGGTGGTGTGGACGTGGCTCTGCCGGGCAGAAGGCCCGACCGTTCGTTTCTCTCTCCTAGGGTATCTCCCGCCAGCCGTCAACATCTCTTGTGAGGCCTCACTAAGCTACATCACGCTGTGACTCAGGCCTGGTCACTGTCAGCCGGCGGCTGCCCAGTCTACGGGCGCGGCGCAGCCGACGCCTCGGGGAGCTCCCCTCGGAGACACGCGCGGCCCCGACCCGGGGCGCCTCCGGCCTACGGCGCCGAGGGTCTGGGCTGCGCCGCCGAGCCTCGGGGGTCTGTCGGTCAGCGGCTGACGACACGACGTGCGCCAGGGGCAGGGTCTCCTCGGGAGCGCCGGCCGCGCTGACCGCCTCCCGCGGGGCGGAGTCCCTGCTGCCCAAGCCCCGTGTGCTGGCCGGCCCGGCGGCGCGGGGGCTGTCGGGCTTTCGGGAATCTCAAGCTCACGAGTGAGTCGAGCGTCTCACAGGCGGCCGTGTTTTCTCCGCCGCGGCCCGTCAGCTCACAGGCTCCCGCCCTCGGGGACCGGTGAGCTCAGTGACAGCGCGAAGCGGCCGGCGGCAGCAGCCGCGCCTATGGCAAGAGGGGGAGAGCCGTGCCGCTCGCCAGGAGGGAGCCAACGTCGCCTGGTGCTGGCTCGGGTGTGACCTGCCAGCTCCAGAGCGCGGAGGGGCGGGCACGGACTCGGTCTGCGCCGCTGCCCGGCTTCTCAGGTGCGGCTGAAAACACCCCGGGCTTGCGGCCGCTCTGGAAGAGCAGGTGGCTGTGGCTTTGGTTTGAGGAGAGGGAGCGGGGTGGGCTGCGGCTGCGTGACCGGGGGCCTGTGCACAGCCCCGCATCAGCGTCCCGAGGGGCGGGAAGAACGTGGGGCCCTGACACTCAGCTGAGACTGTCACCGTGAAGAAACGCTCTCCACAGAGGTCAGCACAGCAGAGGTTCCCGTCCGTGGTGGCCTCCCTCGACACCACGGACGGGAAGAAGCAATCATGAGTCACCCCCAGGAAAAAGACAGGACGGTACTTACGTCTGGGGCTGTGAAGGGTCGTCACCCAGGGTAACATTCTCCCCCTGGATCTCTGTGAAACACTTCTCACAGAAATGATACCTGTCAGCAAGAAGGCCATACTTGGGTGAACTGGTCCATCATACCACACAGCCACCCACGCCACGAAGCCACCAATCAGAGCAGGGCAGATCACCACGACGAGGGGGGGCGTTGTTGGCCGATTGATGGGTCAGTGAGGACAGTGAGGGGGCGGGGGAGGTGGGGGGCAGGGTTAGAGAACAGGGGAGGGGCGGACAGCACAGACGTGAGGGGAAGACGCAAACACCGAGACAACACAGAGCAGAAAGCCAAGGCAAAGCATTATTAGCGTCGGGTCTCACTGCACGGCTCGGGCCACCCCGCCACACCGCGGTGGGCGAGCGGGCGCGGCCAGGAGCTGGGCACGCTGGGGCTGGGAGCTGGGACTTGGGACTTAGAAACTCTGGGGTTGGAGATGGCAAAAATTTAGTTTGTAAATTGGAAAAAAAGCAAGGTTCACTGAAATAGCTTTAAATTAAAAAAAAAATGGGACATTTACGCTTGACAGCAATTCAGTGACTTCATTTCTGTATGAAAATGTCGAGCACCCAGAACTGGTTTTAACTTTGTCCTGTGTTTTTTCTCACGCCAATCACGGAGTTCATCGGGGCACAATACAAACGAAACCAAACCCACACGGAGACGAACACTGAACAGAAAGCAGCGAGCCCCGGACTGCCGCCGGCGGGTGCAGCCCGCGAGCGCGCTCCCCAAGCCCACTGCTTGGCTCGGGGGCCGGGCACGCGTCCCCTGAGGCGCTCAGAGACCGGCGCCGTGGCCTGGCGGGACAGAGCTGGGCGAAGCTAGTCTCAAGCGCAATCTGCATTTGAGAAATTATCTGCTCACCCCAATTTCTTGTAAGAGAATCTAGAGCCCGGGCCTGGGGTACCGAATGAGGACAACAGTCACAGTAAGAACCAGTAAGTGCTCGGACAGGACACGAGGGCGGAGCCCGCGGGCGCGCGGGCACGAGACGCGCAG